GGTCAGTGGCTTGAATGTGAAACTAGAGTTCTGACAGCTCAGAGCACTTCTGGTGGGAGGGCATGGAAATGGCGGGGAAGGGAGGATAAGGTGGTTGATGGAAAGCAAAATAGCTCAGCTTACATTTTCTTTCAGCCCCTCGTGTAAATTGCACCAACTTAGATGCAGATACCAGGATCAACCGAAAAGGTAAAGTCTGACCACTGAGCTGCTAGGGACTCTGGGTTTGAATATCTAGATTGGAGCTTTGGGGAGCTTTGACTCTGGGCAGCTCATAATGCCCCCCCCCCCAATCTTGCTGGTCTCTAGCATTGAGTCCAGTGGCACCTTTAAGACCAACAAAGGTTTATTCAAGGTATGAGCTTTCATGCATGCACATGAAAGCTCACACCTTGAATAAACCTTTGTTGGTCTTAAAGGTGCCACTGGACTCTAAATTTGTTCTGCTGCTTCAGACCGACAAAGCTGACCACCTGAATCTACCTCTGAAACTGTGTTTGAAAAACGACGCCGTAAATTGGATTCCCCACTGGAAACAGGGTTGGAAATCGAAGGGCCTGGCACATAGGTGGTAACCAGATCTTGTAACTGCGGGATTGCCTGCTCTCTGCTGGGTTCCATGCAGATTCTTCCCAGCTCCCTAGATCACTTATCTAATGCTAACCTAGTTTCACTGTTGGCCAGGGTTCGAAACCAGAATCTGAAGCTTTTTTATTTTCTGATTAAGGGATCGGAAACATCCCAAGCGATGCCGGCCCTTGGTTTCTGTCTCTTGGATGACCTCCGAAAGTCTCAGCCTGTGGTCAGTGCAGCTCAGGAAGCCACTGTGGCAATCCCATGATGCCGTCACCGTCTTGTTCCAAGGAGGGGGTGTTAAATGATGACAGACTTTCACAATGAGTGTTCCCCTTTATAGCCCTTGGTAAAAGATATCCTGGAATGAAAGAGCCCTTCTTCGTGTACCAAGTGGTCAGGGTGGCTCGGGGCTTGCATATTTCTGGTAAAATGGCTTCATCGATGGTTGTGGAGGGGAGCTGGGTTGAACCTGACCCTTTGCTTAGGCCTAACGAATGCCCAGAAGGGCTATAAGGGAAAGAGGATCTGGCGGAATGGCGTTTTGGAAGAGAGACAAGATAAGTAGTAATTTTTAACAAGAGTGCAGTCCACTCATAGGGCTTCTTCAGTAGAGCCCCTCTTGGTATCAGCTGAACAATTTTCAAATCTTTATGATTAACAAGGCTCAGTAGAGCTTCCTTTCAGTTTAGTGTCATTGACGAGCATCTGAATTCTGGATGCTTTTTTATTTTGATTTCTCTTACTGCATGAAGATCCTCCCTTTTCTCTCCGTGGAGTACACGTGAGTTATTGTCACAAAACCCAGTGGGGCACATTTTCAGCTGAGAGAGGGTGACTGTCCCAAGATCCCCCAGGACGGTTCATGACTGAGTAGGCGTTTGATTCCTCCGATCAAAAGGCCCAACACCTCGCATCATGCTATCCTTCTGCCACCTAAGTAGGCATCATAGGTATCAAAGGAATCTTCTGTGAGCAAATCTTAAGTGAACTAACAAAAATAACTGTTTTAGAGTAGCTCTTGCATACCTTAAAAAAAAGTGTCCTTCCCACATTTTAATATAGAAAGGACCATTGCTGTGACTGTCTTAATTGAGACAGAAAGCAAGGATCTTTTCAAAGGTTCTTCTGTCCCTTTTCTCAAGGCAACAGTGCATTGTGCCCATCTGGAAGGGAAGGTGGTTTCTTGGTGATGGCTTCAGAAGGGCAAATGCCATCCTTATGGCAAAAGCAGTGCGTTTTGAAGTCCGTGTTTGAGTATTACTTTGCGGCTGCTTAGAGCATATCTCGGGGGCCGCAGTGGCTCAGAGGTTAAGATGCTGAGCTGCGGACCAGAAGGCCAGTAGCTCGGCAGTTCAAGACCCGAGTGCCGCATGATGGAGTGAGCTCCCGTCTCTGGCCCCAGCTCCTGCCAGCCTAGCAGTTTGAAAGCAAGCAGTTGCAAGTAGATAAATAGGTACCGCTTCAATGAGAAGGTAACAGCGTTCTGTGCGCCTCGGCATTTAGTCATGCCAGCCACATGACCACAGAAAAGTCTTCAGACAGCACTGGCTCTTTGGCTTGGAAACGGAGATGAACACCGCCCCCTAGAGTCCGATTCGATTGGCTTTCAAACAAGGGAAACCTTTACCTTATAGCGTATCTAGGTTATTCGAATGGCAAATGCTGTACAAACTCTGAACTGTTGCCCAGAATAACTCCAGGCCAATAAAATATAGTTTATCAGTTACTTTATTTTTTTAAGAGATGAAATGTAGAGATGAAGCCAGAAATGAAATTGTTTGGGGCCATAAGAAAAGGCAGAACACGAATCCCTGTGATACGTAAATTTAAGCGACTGATGGCAATATTTTGATATTTGTGTGTGTTTCAGTAGCAATAATTTTCATTATTAAACCATTGCAACTGAATTTGTAATCCTCTCAGTTGAAAATATTTTAATTATTCCATATTGTTCCTGTGGCTTCAAGTTCACATGAGAATATAACCACATTCTGAGTTCTGCTATGATGCAAAAATATAGTTCTCTGTCAAGTCCCCCCTGACCTGTTTAGACTAACATAGTTGTATTTATATATGTGTCTTCCATATTAAACTATACAGAGTGCTCTTAGAGATGTAAAACTTCCAAAATTATTGAAGGCACGGGGAAACATTTTTCCCCAAGGTGTTTGGGGAAAAAATTGAAATTTGAAGAAAAATTAAAGTTTATGCAATACATGCTTTGTTATCAAACCATAATTGAAAAAATGGAAATCTGAAGAAAAATTAAAGTGTTTGCAATGGATGCTTTGTTGTCAAACCTAAACGTATTTTACTGCTTTAACCACTTAAATTTATCATTTAGAGCCTAGTATATACAACTTTAAGGAGCTGCGGTGGCTCAAGTGGTTAAGACGCTGAACTGCAGGCTGTGGAAGGTCAGTAGTCCAGCAGTTCGAGACCCGGGTGCCGCATGATGGAGTGAGCTCCCATCTCTAGTTCCAGCTCCTGCCAACCTAGCAGTTCGAAAGCAAGAAATTGCAAGTAGATAAATAGGTACCACTTCGGTGGGAAGGTAACAGCGTTCCGTGCGCCTTGGTGTTTAGTCATGCCGGCCACATGACCACGGAAATGTCTTTGGACAGCGCTGGCTCTTCGGCTTTGAAACGGAGATGAGCACCGCAACCCTAGAGTTGGATTCGACTGGCTTTTGAGCAAGGGAACCTTTACCTTTACCTTTATATACAACTTTACTATTTGACATATTTATGAGATTGATAGGTAGAAATTGTCTTAGTTCTCTACAAGCAAAATTAAAAACTTAACCACTACCAGAAAAAACACAAAATGGAATGCAGAACCTTCTCTAACCTAAATTTAAAAACTGAGAACACAAATTTTGCAGTCAGCAAACTCAGTCACAGCAGGACTGTCAGCATTATTAGGATATCAAGTGATTACATTGGAACCCTGGAACAGTTTAATAGTGTCCCACCATCCTACACCAAACATACTAGCTGTAGACAAAATTAGTCACATTTTAAACAATTATGTCCTTGAAGATAAGCTGTATAAGTCTATGGTAGACTCAGGAATTGTTGTCTAATGCCTTAACGTATCTTAAATAAAAATCTTCACTCTGAACAGTATGAGTGAGTTACAGCCACGTCTGAAAGCATTCCACTAATTCAAGAAGAGGAAGACAAATCCTTCGTGTAAGGTTTTAACCCCTACAGCACTCCCCAAGATTTCTACTTTAAAAAATCGTGTTTTCCAGTTTATTCCCCCAAACTTTGACATCTCTACTCTAAACGCAGTCGCACCATTTCAAGACTTCTACAGAATCAGAGTAACCCTTTGGGTCGAAAGCCTGTATTTATGGTAGATGTAGGATACACCTGGTATTAACCAGTCGAACACAAATCTAACTCCTGCCATTTTACTTTGGTCCACAAGGATGCTGCGTGCAAAACAGCTCATTAGCAGGCCCAGGTGGCCGCTTTTAAAGACTGGAGAAGGGGTTCCCTGTGTGAGAGGGCATTTAACCAATGCTCCCTTTAAGCTGTGGAGTCTTGTGAGCAAAAATTCTACTGTGAGCTACTGGTGTTAAAGTTGTCAGCGAGCAATTTGGCTACGGCATAAATTAGTTTGCTCTGGAGCCCTCCTTCCTGAGCTAAGACAAAAATGTGTGAGCCGGAGGCTAAAAAACTGTGAGCTGGCTCACACTAACTCAGCTTAGAGGGAACACTGCATTTAACCATTTCCTCCTATACCTCTTCTAAGATTTAACACCCCTCCCCAGCTGCTGGAGATAAATATTAGATTTAATGCACCCCAACCTTGTTCTCCCCCCACCCACCCCCACTGTATGTTTGGTGTGGTGTGCTAAATTGCGGAAAATGCATGGAGGAGAAAAGTTAAATGCCCTGCCCTCGCGTGCTTCTTCCCCAGTGGGCTAAGTAGCTTTAAAAATCCATGGGGGGGGCCCAATAGATCACTTGTGCCATGTCTGGTTTGGCCCTTGGCATGGATTCTTCTAGGCATCTAAAGAGTGCTGCGGGGGGTATTCTGTTGGCTGAAGGGGGCTTCAGTTCTTGCTGGGCATCGAGTAGTTTAGTGCTAGAGAACGAGGAATTAAGCCACAGTCTACATCTGAAATGGCTTGAAGCTTCATAATTTAATTTTAGGCTTTTGACTGCTGTGCTAGACGTTCACTTGGTGTTGTGGCACTGAGTCACGGAACTGCTCGCATCTTAATATTTCTGATTTCTCACACGATGCATTTGGCCCCTGGGTACGTTGGGCGCCCCGTCTTGCGGTCGGTCTCCATGCAAGTAAAGATCTCGCAGACAGATGGCTGCCAGAAGGGTTTCTGCACATGGAGAGGCGGTTTTGATGTCTTGATGTTTCAGATGACTTCCTGTTGTTGTTTTTTCTTGGCACAGATGATCGTGTGGCTGGAGAAAATGCTAGATAAAATCATTAGCATTCTCATTATATTTGTGCTTGTGGTAGGAACCCTCCTGCTTGCCCTGCTCCTCACCGCCAAGGTA